TGGGTGGAGCTCCGTGCTAGAGCCATTGTCTGGCATGTATGAGGACCTGGGTTCATCTCCAGTACCACAAAATAAGGTATAAAACATAAGGATCAAGTATAGTTCTCATGAGCAGGTCTTGCAACCCAAAGCAAGGGGTAGGAGCTACTGGAGTTAGGGGTATTGAGAACATGAATGAGCAGTGGGAGAGATGCTTTTATTAGAGAGAGAAGGCTCTTGTTGCTCTGTGTAACACACTTGCACAGCAGCCTTGGGCTTGTTTTTCTATCCCCAATGCTTTCAAACCCTTACCCAGAGTCAAAAGCCAAATAACGTCTTCTTGTTGACAGAGTGGCAGTGAACTCCTCTGTATTAATGTCATCTGGCAACAGATAACAGGAAAACTCCTAGATAACTAACCACTATTCTTGGGTAAAAGAATTCAGAGGTGGACGGTCCAAGGCAAATTTACTTGCTCTGGGAAGCCTTCAGGGACCCAGGTCTTTTCAAATCTTTTCTCTAAGATACAGTTGTTATCCTAGCTATTCTTTGGCTGCCAGCACTCCAGCCATTGCACCTGCATTCCAGATGAGAGGGAAAGAGAGCATGCCTGCCTGGGAGCCTCATGTGTCAATTCCACTTGCCTTCTGACAGAATCTATTCTCATGGCTACTCCATACACATCTGCTGCCTACTGTTTGTATAATGGCCATAAAACACACTGCTGGTGGTTTTGGATTTATAATATTCAGAAAAAAATAATATTGTTCAACTGTCCATACGGTTAGCAGCACTAAGCATTGGGTCTTGTATAGCTGCAGGTTGGCTACGGTTCAGCTCCATCAGACTGACTACTGGCCATTCCTACAGGCCATTCTGATTGCACACTGCAGGAGATGTGCTGGCCTTCTCTCAGTGCAGGTCTGTGGCATCACCCCAGTCGACATGTGATGGACATGGTATAGCCAGGACACATTCTTCTCAAAGCCCAAAGAGGCACCAAAAAGAAAACAAGTGGTGCCTTTAAGGTGTAGACACAGGCCTGGCACATTGCTACCTCTGCCCTCAGGACACTGAGAAAGGCACTGAGGTCAGGGCCAAGATACAAAAGCCACCCACCATGAGGACTTTATAATGATCTGGAGGAAGGAAAGAAAGAGAGCCAGCGTGATAGCACACATGGTTAGAGTCCGACAATCCTACAGACGAAAAGACAGGAACCCAGGGACAGTTCTCAGCCTCCTGGACACCTCTTAGGGTACATCATCAGTGTGAGGTATCAGCATATGGCTTGTGCAGCTGCTGTGACTCTCATTCTCGCCTCAAGGCACCATGTAGATTAAGAATACAAGGAGCCTGTATAAAGATGATGACCTCCTGTGAAAAACAACAAACAAAAACAACAACAACAAAACAAAACAAAAAAACACAAGGAACCAGCAAGATGGCCAAGGTACTTTCTGCTGTTGAGGAAATGAAACAAGGACAATCCTTCAATATCATGTCTAAAAATCTTAAGCCAAGAAAGAACAAGTCAGCATCCAAGATACCTCTGCCAGGAAACACCAGCCCACTACCCCATAGATTTCTGTACTCTGTGCTCTGAGGAGGGGCATCTGTGCTTCATGTTGCATGAAAAGCACCAGACTGTCAAGTTCTAACTAGCATTTCAGCCTTAGTCCCCACTTTCAAATGTCATTCAGCATCCATTTATGGGGGAGGGGCACACACATAAGTATGCAGGTGTGTGTGTGTGTGTGTCTGTGTCTGTGTGTGCATGTGTGCGTTTCTAAAGACCAAAGGACAACCCCAAATATCCCTAAATCCTATCCACCATGTTTTTTGAGACAGGGCCTATCACTGTCCTAAAGTTTAATAAGTAGGCTGGCTGGCTGGCCTGTGAGTCCCAGAGACACTACTGTCTTCAGCTTCCCAGGGATAGGGTTCAAGCAGGCACCACTTTTTTCATCTGGGTTCTGGGGGTATCAAAGTGAGAACATCATGTGTGCCTAGAAAGCACTGTACTGAATGAGACAACCCCCACACCCCACCATACAGTTTTAAAATATCTAGGTGGCACCTTTGTTTTGTCATGTGTTTGCTTTCATCCCCTAAGCCCATCCCGGCACCCCTCTGACCCTTACATCTAACCCACATACCAACATCCCACTTCAGGAAGCCCTGACTGATCACCTCAGCTGGAGAGAATGTCTTCTACTACTCTCTTTCAGTTTGGTCTTGTCCTAAATACTTTGGACGCTCCCATTTCTCTTCAGTGTAGGCTGAGGCTGTGTCCAGGTTTGAGTAACCCTGGAGAGAGGCCTGGCTTTCCTGCTCATCCTTTGCTCTTTGTAACACTGAGCTCTGTTCCTTGTCCAGAGCCAACACTCAATATCTGCTTATTCAATTTTAAGATGCATTTTTTTTCAGTATCCACTAAGTGCCAAAGCCTGTCAGGCACTAGGAACATATAAACAATTAACACAGTGAGAATGCCAAGGAAATGAGTCAACAAATCAATGGCAGATGACAATGTGACTTGCCATCCTTGCGGCCATTTCTCCTAACCTACTGATATCTGCAGGAAGAGGTCTAGAAAAGAAAGGACATAGGTTAAATGAGTTTCAGGATCAAAAGACCTCATAACATCACAAATCACACTGCAGAGCAAGTCACACACAGGCTGCACTGTTCTGGCAGAATGTGTGATCACAAGTCACACACGGGCTGTACTGTCCTGGTAAAATGTGTGATCACAAGTCACACACGGGCTGCACTGTCCTGGCAGAATGTGTGATCACAAGTCACACATAGGCTGTGCTGTCCTGGTAGAATGTGTGATCACAAGTCACACATAGGCTGTGCTGTCCTGGTAGAATGTGTGATCAGAGGAGAAAATTCAGCTTTTGTAACACTAGCCCATTTTACAGGCATTTATAGGAGGAGCTTTCTGTTGCAAAGAACCCTACCATGAGTCTGTAAAAGGCAACCAGTCAGCATGTGCGCATCTCTGCAAACCCAACTCCCAGTCAACAGACCATTGTGCAGTAACCCATGTCTCAAGGCCAGCCTTGGAAAGAGTGAGCTTAGAGTTCTGTACCACTGCGTCACCCTGAGGCTCTGGCTGCAGGAGAGACAGGGAGGTGAAGTGGGGGAAATTAAAAGAACAAAGATCAAGAACTGCCCAAAAAATGGAGTTCTGGACAACAAAACAGTAATATCAAACAAATGCAAAGAAAGTGAAAGACAAGAGGGGGTATGGCTGGCTCTCGTTATGGGTGTCACTCAGTGCTGGCTCTGCAGAGGGCCAGGATTGCCACACTCACCCTCAACCCCTTTCAGGAAAGTACTATTCAAAGGGTAACAGGACTCTTCAGAGGATTTCCAAACACATCCCTGCTTGCCTGTGTCTGCTTTGGAAGTCTCCGAATGGAACACTCCTACTTGGGTGGTAAGACTGAGAGGTGAGAATGAGTGTGCTTGGGTGTGGCCTGTAGTTATGGAAACCAGGAAACGGACACAAGAGCCTATCCTTCTTTCTCTCTATTATTCTACCTATCTGGGGTTTTGTTCTTTAATTAAAAACTCTAAATAACAATGACAATAATAGTAATCTCAGGATAGGGTACAGGCCCACCACCAAACTCTAATCCCTCAGAGCATTTTCTAGCAAAGGCGCCCTGGCTGAGAGGTAAGATGCACAACTGAGTGTGCTTAACACAGCTATGCACTTCCTGGCTGCAGTTCTGTGGCTAATCCTAAACTTGTTCATTGTTCACACAATGAACCTTAAGATCACAGGCCTCTCTCCTGTATGTGATCCTCACAGTCACAGGCCTCTCCCGGGTGTGTGGTCTTCACAGTCACAGGCCTCACCCAGGTGTGTGATCCT